GAACAAGGAAGGTAGGAAACATAGAGGAGGTAGCAGATAGGAGATGAAGAGGAGGAGGAGGAGGAGGGAAGGGACATGAGGAGGACAAACGGGGAGAGAAGAAGAAGAGTAGGAGGAAGGATTATGAACAAGGGAAAGGAAAGGAAGAAGGAAGGAAGAGGAGGCAGGTGAGGTGAAGAGGAGCAAGTGAAGAAAAGAAGAGGAGGCAGCAGAAAGGGGGAGGAAGAGGAGGGAATATCAGCAGGAGGACGAATAATAAAAGAATAATAAATAAAAGTGAGGAAGAGGAACAAGGATAGGAGGAAGAGGAGTTTATGTTTCAAACTCGAGGCTGCCTGATAGAAGGAAGAGGGGGGGGGGGATTTTCAGCTTATCAGATGACCTTATTGGCAGGGTTGAGGAGGCGCACACGCGCGTGGCCGGCGTGCGCACACGTGACAATATAGCGCTCATTGTCTTTTCTTTCCTCAATGTTTCTATGCAACATATTTTAATAATGATTAGCAGTTATTGATACAACAGATCAGTAAAAAGAGTGAATGATTGTAAAAAAGGAGCAGAAAGGCTTTTAATTTCTTCCTAGAATTAATATAATATTAATATCATAGAAATACAGCATACAACACTAAATAACCATAAACCTGGACCACAATAGAAAACCAGCACATGTAAAAAGACACTTTAAAAGTCATGATGTACAATACATGTAATAACAAGCACAGCAGAGACACCACCGTGTAGAATCACAACAGAGCAGCAAATATAGAAATATCACATAAATGCTGCTCAGATGTTTTCTTTTGATGCAGCCGAATTCCTTCCCGCACACTTTTCTGCTAAATTAGCGAACAAAATGAGTAAACTGGTGGTTTAGAAGATAGTCAGAAGAAACGAAGTGTAAAGTTGATCGTAATGTGAACTGACCTCCTGCTGGCTGGAAGCCCGGACGCTCATGAGGTGCTATGAGAGGAAAGGTGAGGAGCTGATGGAGATGCTTCTTTTTCTTTTTCCTCGTCTCTTTTGCCTTGAAGCTCACAAAAATAAAAATAAGTAATAAAAGGGTTCAAATAAGATGATCGGGCCTCAGTCCAACAAGTTTTTAACGGGGAGAGACGCGCAGACACGCCGGCTCACGTCCGTCTCTGCTCCGGTCTGCCGGAGGACTCGAGGAGGGCTGCTCTGATGGATGCGTGACGTCACTGGGAGGGGGTGTGGCCACACACACACACACACACACTGTTCTGCACATTGTACTTGTACTCCTCCAGGTGTGTACTTCCAATGATGGAGTACAGCTACGTTCATTAAATCAAACACTGAACTCAGGGTTCATATTTTGTGCTTCTTTCATTCGCAAAAACTGAAATTTTTACTGCATTTATCTGTTATTAGATTATTAATAAAATGTATTATTATAGGTTAAGCCACCCAGCAGTAAATGGTGCAACTACAACAGCTGCCACCATTTTGGATTCTCTGACTCTCCGTCCCTTTAAAGGTCAACGGAGTGAACTTATGTTAAGTTCAAAGTTCAAACTGGCCTCGTTCCTGCCTGTCCTCTTGCTCTTCTTCTACTTCTTAATATCTTGTTCTATTTTAAATTGGGAACACGAGTCATTCAATTCGTTCCATTAGAGGAAACACAGACAATAAAGTCAAGCTGCACGCAGACCTTCTGTTGCTTCTTATTATTCCATAATCAATAAAGAAATCATTGACACAAACGGAGCATCAAAGCAGCAAATAAACACAATAAAACACATTGTGTCCCTGTAGATAAAGCCGAGTGGAGCTGCAGAGGAAATGACTCGTGCAGCAGGACGGTCATTAATAATAACAACAACAACAACAGGAGATTTATTTGAAAGTGTGATGCAAAAAGGATGTGAATTCCACAATAAGATATACCAAAAACCTTCTAAACGCATGAAGAAATGTTTTTACCGCTCTGGTATCTGATGGAGATTTATTGGCTTTAAATGACAGTCAGAATATTTGAAAAGAGAGTATTTCTTTCCTCCACGCTCAGAGAAAAACAGCTTTCTTCAGTCTAATAGACCTTCCTCTTTCATCTCATTGACAAAACGTCCTCCCCGTAAAGCTGCTGTCAGAGCAGAGCGGGGAAGTCGACAACGACTCGGCAAAAAAGACGACAAGAGGAAGACAGCACGTCTCGAAATGAGCTCAGAAAAGCGGCGACTCCGTGACTGTTTACAGCAAAGAGATTTCAGTGAAGTATCTGTCAGCCACATGCATCCGCTGTTTGACTTTCAGGGCTTGTCTCCAGGTATGTGACAGCAGCAGAACGGGCCGAGCTCAAGCAGCTGTCACCCTGCAGAGTCAAAAAGTCACAACCTTTCCTACTTTGCATGTGTTATCCTGACTTGGATATTTGCAGAAGTCGGAAGCTCTGCATGCATTTTAGTTCACTTGAGTTTAAAAATGAAATCTCTCACAAAAGGAGTCAAATATGAAAAAGAGAAGTTCAAAAGTCAGATTAGAGTTGATGTCTGAATGCGATGACCTCAAAGACATCAACAAGCTGAAAGGAAACGTCCTGCTCTACTCGGGGAAGTTGTAAAGTCCAGACCTGTGCATCGTGCTGCCGCTTTGTTCTCCCTCTCAGCGACGCCTCGGGGAGCTTTTAAAGGCAGCAACCAAAGTCTAATTAGACCGACGACAACAGCTGGAGAGAACCAACGGGAGAGGAGTGACTCCTCTTACAGCTCTCATTATGCATCGTCCTACTTAATCACGTAGACATCTGGAGCCAGTGCAGCTTCGTCTCATCAGATTGTGATTGATTCAGTTCGTGAACTCCTCTTCTTCAGGTTCTCTTTATCGCGTTTCCTGCATTTGACTTGTCTTCTAATATTTTCTTTTAAAAGTTTGACATCGAAGGGCAAAAAGTCTCCTCTTCTCTCACTTTTTGTTGTCAATTCATGAGCTCTCATCTTATGCAGCTCGTGCTTTTGTGTTTGGCCTCAGAGGGTTCAGTCACATCCCAAAATCTGAGGGCTTTTAGAACCCATCAGGCTTCTCTGCGCCTTTCTCTGCATGATGAATGCTACAGCAGCAGCTTCAGAAAGGTGAAAGCGCGGTGATTTATCTGACCGCCCTGAACACGCTCTTTCATTCTGCACCGTCAGGGGCCGAGGGGGGATATGATGGATATCCACGAGGCGACTTATTGACTGACTGGAGATCAGTGCAGGGCTCTGATCTCCATCCAGCGGGCCGGACTCACCTTGGACGTGTGCTTTTAGAAAAGGATTTCTCAAACTCTTCAGCGTCTCAGGCTGCAGAGACCACCAGCTAAATCACACAGGCTGAAGTTTTCATTTGTTCCACATGAAGAAGAGCCTGACGCCGTTCAACAGACTGAAGCTGAACAATGCATCTGCACAATGCATCAGTCAGTTACGTCTTTATTCAAAGGTTTGTTTTGTATATTTACTTCAAAACATCCTCTGAAAGCTGTTGAAGACATACGTTTATTGTTATACGATCTCCATCTCAAAGGAAGACCACGACGTGGAGGAGAACTTTGGGAAAAGTTGTCAGACTTCCTTCTTTAATCATTTACTTTCATTCCCTGGAAGGGTTTTATTCTGCATAAACGATTAGTTGAGTATTCATCAAAGTAACTCTCAAGCTTCTTAAATGTGAAGATTTTCTGCTTTTCTTACTTCGAGAACATGCAACGTTTTGGGGAATTTTTGAGCTTATGGTGGCGCTGCAGGAAAGGTCAGAGGATCACCAAAGTCAGAAGGATTCATCCTCTGAGGACCAAGAGTATTAGCACCAAATTTCACGGCAATCTATCCAATAGTAGTTGAGATAAGAGTTGGAATGGTGAGCTGAGTCGTTATCCTGTCGTATGTTCGTATGTTGTGTTTTAATCACATCGCCACAGAAGAAGACTTTTGTGCAGCGATGTCTCTGCAGGATGAACTGGTTTTATCAACATTTTCCTGCAGAAAGCTTCATATTTGCAACGTGAGATTCTGTTTAATGATATTTTAATGTTTGCACATTAATCAGAATTCAAGAAAATAAGAGAAAGAGTTAAAGTCTGGAATGCAGACGCCTCCTGAGAACACAAGAAGCAGCCGTGTTTGTATAAAGAGGTAAATGTTTTCCGTTGCTGCCCCGAAGTTCAGCTCTTTTTGGAGACTCAGACTGGATTCGACGCGTCCATTCATCGGCGCTGAATGGGAACAGTGGGGTCTGAAAAGGAGCCCTTCTATTCAGCTCTTTATCAAGGACCCTCGCTATCAGCCCGGCTCGCTTTGCATCAGAACAACGGAGCGTTCGCTTGTCGGCCAGGTTGGTTATGGGAAGAGACGCCAGGAATGTATTTCAGATGCGGCCAGAATGCAAATACGGGAATTCCTGAAAACCTGGTGAGAATTTTCTTGTCAGTTGAGGAGTATTTGCAGCATTTGAAAAAAGGGCATTGTCCTACAAACTTTCGAAAATTACTTCAATTGGTAGTAACTTCTTCCAAATGAAGTGAACAAGTTAGATTAACACAGCTGCTTTAAGTCTGTTAAAGTTTGCATTAATGGAACTTAAAGTTTCCAATTTCTACGACTAATTATTTATTCAACAGTAAAACACTCCTTAACAATAAGAGTATAGTTTCATCTTCATAGTGCGACATTTTAGTTTGTTAAAGTAAAACGATGAAGCTGCCGGAGTCTCTGCAGAGAGAACAGGAGACTTCTTCTCCCTCTTCTCCCCCAGCTCATTTCTCCTCCTCCTCTCACCTCCATCTGTCCGTTCACTTCATCTCCACACTCCAGGCTCCCCAACCTGCTCACGGGAAAATGACTCATTCATCCTCTTCTCCGTAGCAGCAGCGGGAAAAGGCCACGGATTAGCCGTCTGTAACTTCAGGCAAACACACCTGAAGTCTGCAGCCTCGTCGGTCCTGAGGCAGCGTGTTCACGGGTTTTGTGTTGATTCCTGATGAAGAATGTATAAAATGTGCATTCGTGCAAATCATAAATCCTGTGAGGGGTTTGGTCAGTTTCAGGAAAAAGCTTTGTTTTCACGATCATGCAGCTGAAGAGACTTTGACAACCCGATGGAACCAAATGATGCTGCTCTCTGAAGGGCGGCCTTCCAATCCTTAAATCCTCAAATCCCTGGTTACTGACTGATTACCACTTCACCGCCTGGATCCTCTGCATCATCTGCTGCTGCTCTTATCCACACAAACGTACAAAGACAGTCTCGCTCAAGGACGGAGCTGCAGGATGATCAGCGGAGGGTGATGGCGTCTTTCCTTCACAGATCAGTGTTTTGGCAGATGATGCAAATTCATCTTGTAAGATGAAAATGAGTGACGTCTGTCATTGACGAGCTTGAGTCATTTATTGCTCACTAAATTCAAATCCTGCTCTGAAAATAGACACAATAACCTTGTGAACGGACCATTTAGATGCACTATACTTTTAATGTATTTGATAGAAATACAGCGTTTATTAATAACTCACTGTTTCTGCAGCAGAGTGAAGATGTAATCCTTGTTCGTCTCACTTAAAGTTCTCTTTTAAATCCATATTTCCTGCAAACAAGTTCTCCAAACTAAACTCCTGAATATCTCCTAACTCTCCCAGCTCCAGGCAGATAAAAACACTTAGTTTGTGCAACTAAAGTGTTTATTTTGTGCTGCATTTATTTTCTGGTAGAAAAGGATAAAAAAACATCTATTTCCTTACGTAGGACCACGGCTTAAAAAACGACAAAAAGCGAATAAATTAAAGTTTGTAGTTCAGTGCGTGGAGAGACTTTGTTTTGTATGAAGCATAAAGAAAATGTTTACATGTGCAGCTTTAAATTCATGACTAATATGAAAACACTCGTCGCTTCCAGACGTCTGCAGCTTTGAGTTGAGTTTTAGGTGAAAGAGTTTGAGTCTCTGCAGCTTTGAGGCTGCGTGTGTCTGACTGAGAACTCCGCTCCGGAGGCTGAATCTCATCCTGGCCCATCGATCGACACAGAGATAGATGCAGCATTCTGAATCCTCTCTGCAGGGCCTCCTTCGGTGAAATCATTACCTCCGAACCCTCGCCGTCGCCCACTTCAGCGCAATGCCAATTACCCACAAACCCCTCTGTCCACAGG